ACTGATGAAAACACTAAAAGAATTTCCAACTTTTCCCTAGGAAAAAAGCAGAGAGAGCAGAGTGTCATGACTCATGAGGATACTTTCAAAATTCGCTAATATCATCGAAAACAAAAAAAATTAACAGCTGTATGCAACATCTTCTTTTAACTTGAAAGCGCTTTCAAAAACTGGTACCTTTAAAAATTTGTATGGCTTAGAATACACATTTTTAAAAGTGACTAGTTTTAAAAAGCGCTTTTAAGTTAAAAGAGGGTGTTATCGTCGGCCTCATATGAAAATTGCCTAAGTCCAATTTTTTTCAAAATTGAGATTTTAGTGCAGACTTGTGAGAAACTCAATAATCTATGATGCAACAAAATATTTGGGCGATAAATTATTAGATGGAGCCACAGAACCATGAAAAGAAATTTGCATAAGTCCATAGGATAGAGTGAACTTGCGTAAGTCCAGTCTCTTTTGTGTATTCTTGCCGGTGATTTTTCTCATGTAGCTTTTCTTGACAAAGGTTTTTTGCGCCTCCTGTAAAATTTACCTTTTTGGACTTAGGCAATTTTCATATGATGCCGACGATATCCATATCGCCAAAAAAGTGCCTATGTAGCAGGGCATTCCCTGTAGAATAAGTTGGATTTCAAGAAGGTGCATGAGGTGGGGTAATCTAGCTAGCCAACTTATTAACAGAAAGACATATTTTCTTCTATCTATCAAGTAACAAATCATTTTGGAATTTAATTTCTTCACTGTTCTCCAGGAAGTTGGGATCTGTAGGTTTCGTAAGTCGAAATCTTCGAAAAAACTAGTGATAATTGTCCATATTATCGAAATAATCACTTCTTTTGTAGACTGTAGACTCTGCCAGATCATCATCTATAAATATTTCGTCCTCTAAATCCATTTTACACCAAAATAATGAAAAAATTGTAAAAGAAACTCCAAAATCGGTGCCAAAAAATACCTTTAGGTTAGGGTGACCATATTTTTTTTGTATGAATGCTGTACACATCTAAAATTTTGGGACAGGTGAGTGGAGAAAGCACTAAATGCAAATTTTGTCGACTTTATAGCCCGTTTTTGTACCACTTAGCAAAAAAATAAATAAAATGAAAGACATACCTAACATAATAGGTCTGTTCGCACAGAAATCACAAACTAGTCAGAGTGAACTTCATTTATTTGAAAACATCTTTGGAAAACCTCAATGGTTGAAACCAAGGTTGTTTGAAAGAGGTAGGCTGGCTGATAACTTTTATGACGTCATCTCCAGCTCTATTAGATCTTCCTGATGACGTAATCTGCTTACCATTACCAGACAACTTATTAACTTTAGGAACCTCGGGTTGAAACTTGTTTTCTGACTGTTTCTAACTTTTTGACTATTTTCAACCAATGAAATTCACGCTGACTGGTTTGTGATTGCTGCAGAAACAGACCTATTAAGCTGTGTCTTCTTCTCAGCAGCGTGGAATAGAGAGAGATAAAAAACGTAGTTAACTTTAAAAAGAATACTCTGGGAGATAATGGCGTAAATGACGTAAATCGCAAATGTAGAAATGTCGTTAGTTATTGACGGACAATTTTTCGTAATTTTTTTTAAAGAAAAACTTAATTATGATCGGATTTGAATCGCTGTACGTTTGCTGTACAAAATCAAATGCTGGACAGACTTTGAAAATGCTGTACAATACAGCGAAATGCTGTACGTATGGTCACCCTACTTTAGGTTGGACACCGTTCTGCTAATCCACGCATCGTTGACCGATTAGATAATTTGAAGCTTAAACCGAATTTTTCTAACGGTGCATAAGAAAACTATATCTAATCCAGGATTTCATAACTCTCGAAATTAGCTTACGGTACCCATACCTAAGTAAGTGCTTTATGCGTATAGTTCATAATTGTGTGCGCCTTGCCAATACGTCGCAAACAATCAAAATACAGGGTGTCCCAATAGAAAGTGACCGATTTTGAGTGCTTATAACTTTTAAACCAGGTGTGCTAGCTACCTGCAATTTGCGCCATTCAACTTTTCTTGGCCTAAAGTTTTTTTTTCAGTTACTTGCAAATTGTTTTCACACCTATACAGGGCGAGTAAAAAAATGCCGTTTTTCAACATCGAAATCCTCCACTATTTTTAATGGAATATTCTGTATGTTGCAACGCCAAAATTAGGAGTCGTGACCAAGGTATTCATTTGCCAATAAACAGCGGCCTTTTTTGAACCTAAAAAAATGCATTTATTTTTGGGCCAGATTTCTATTTCAATTTTTCAGGACTAAAACTTCAAGTTCCATGCCCGATGTTTATTGGTACATCAATACCTTGTACACGACTCTTAATTTTGGCGTTGCAACATACATGGTGTTTCAATAAAAATAGTGGAGAATTTCGATGTTGAAAAACGGCATTTTTTTACTCGTCCTGTATAAGTGTGAAAAAAATTGCAACTAAAGGTACGGTTTGTTAGGATAGTACGCGACGCACAACTGACAACGTAAACGTCGTCATTGGTTCAGGTATGACGTACACCCGTTACCTGACATCAGCGTCAGCGTCAGAAAACGGGTGTACGTCAAACCTGAACCAATGACGACGTTTACGTTGTCAGTAGTGCGTCGCGTACTATCCTAACAAACCGTACCTTAACGGTACGGTTTGTTAGGATAGTACGCGACGCACACCGTACCTTTAAGGTACGGTTTGTTAGGATAGTACGCGACGCACAACTGACAACGTAAACGTCGTCATTGGTTTAGGTATGACGTACACCCGTTTTCTGACGTCAGCGTCAGCGTAAGGTAACGGGTGTACGTCATACCTGAACCAATGACGACGTTTACGTTGTCAGTTGTGCGTTGCGTACTATCCTAACAAACTGTACCTTAACTGAGAAAAACTTCAGGCCAAGAGAAGTCGAATGGTGCAAATCGCAGGTAGCTAGCACACCTGGTTTAGAAGTTATAACCATTTACAATCGGTCACTTTCTATTGGGACACCCTGTATTTTATTATCCGTTCACAATCCGATGTCCACAGGTAGGTACAGGTAAAATCACCTTTTAATGCTATTTGATAGGGAAAGGTGATAAATTTACCTGCACCTGTGAACATCGGATTGTGAACTGACACTTGCGGTATGAGGAGCGAGGGGGTGTTTCATATGGCAAAAACAGGTGTGACAGTAACCATTGGCGTTCTAATGTAGGGATCCACCAGCTCACATTCCGTCCGAGTATCAGATTAAAATCGACGAACAATCATGTTTCAATTCTGAGTCGAACGTCGCATGTTGCCACATCGCATTTTTGCTACGCTACTCCGGTGTGAAACCACCTATATATTTCTTCTTCCTCTTGTGCCCTGTGCAATTTGGGAGGGTGCCATCTTCTGCTTGGCGGAATATTGTGGCGGCATCTCTTGATTCTACTTGGTTTACTCTGTCTACAAGCTGTTGAAGGTCTTCAGGTGAATGCGCTAGTATAGGGCAGTATATCAGAGGGGCAGTATCATCTGCATATTTAGGCTGTGGTCCGAATATAACCAGGGTTGTGGTTTCGGTTTCGCAGTCCAAAAGTAATCAAATTACTCTGGTTCCTGGAAAAGTGGTTACTTTTGGAGCTAGGTTTCCTGAAATCTCGTTAATCAAATGTCAAAATAGTTACCGGCCATCGGATGTCGGTTCTGTTGGTTTTATCTGCAATTTCTGTCAATAATTTTTTATTTCACATTTTCAGTGACCATCTGTCAACCGATTCGGTTACTTTGGTTAACGGTTGGTTATATTCGGACCATAGCCTTTATATTATTAATCGAAATTCCGTTGACTAGTTGACTGAGTCATGTAGCTTATGGAGTCTCTCAGCCTCCTCACATTCTGCAATGATCCATTGTTCTCTGGCTTCTTTAAATTTTCGTTTCATTTTCCGATTTAGTCCAGTATACCTTTTAGACTCTTGAAATAGTTGTGCACGTCGTCGTTTTTTCATTATATCAAGAACTTCATCCGTCATCAACGGTCTAATCTTGACGCTTTGCTGCTGGCCTAAAACTGTCTCACAGGCATCTTGGAGATTCTTTTTAACGTTGTTCCAAATGTCTTCAGGATTATCTTTGCTTCTTGGGTCATTGGCATTGCATAGTCGGTTCAATTTCAGTCTCATGTTCTCCTCAACATCTGTCTTGTTAAGCTTCTGAACATTGTATTTTCGGGGGGCTTTTCTTTTCCCTGTTATTTTAAGGTTGAGTTTAAAATTGGCTATTATGAGGTGATGGTCAAATCCAATATCAGCTCCCGAATATGTGGCCACATGCGTAATACTATTCTGGTATCTGTGGTTTACCAGAATATAGTCAATCTGACAATGTGGTCGTAATTGTCTTGTGGGGATCGTTATGTATATAACCGTCTGGGAGGTAGTTTATAGTAGGTATTTTTAATAACCAATTTTTCCTCTTTACAGAACTGAATGAGCAGACTCGTTCGTTTTTCTCGCCAAGACCAAAATCACCCGTCACACCATCCACTCTTTCTTTACAAACTTTCGCATTGAAGTCACCCATTATGATGGTTATTTGGTCAGACTTTAGCAAGCTTAAAACTTCATGGACTTGTTCGTAAAATGTCTTTATTTCTACCTCTAGCTTATCTGCTGTGGGGGCGTATACCTGAACAAGATTAAAATTAGTGGGTTTCGCATGTACTTGTAAGAGAATGATTTTGTTTGAATAGGCAACAACATTTCGTACGCATATATTTCTTAATTTTTTCAGTAATTAGAAATCCTAATCCGTTTGAGTGGGTTTTTTATGAATTTCCAGAGTAGTAGAAAGTTATTCCCTGCTTATCACACAATGTCGAATACAGTGTGGATAGCTTTTATAAAGACATTAAACTAGAGGACTTCAAAGTATGATCCTTGGGGCACACCAGAAGGTACCTGAATCGATTTACCCCAACTTCCTAGACCTATTGGATAAATAAATAATAGTAGAACAAAAAATCGATTTCAAACATATTTATTCCTTAAAAACAGTATAATGTATTTATTCTTCATTGTAAAATTAAGGCATTTGCTTAAAAAGTTCCTATAGAAAAACCGCCTATTAGCAAAAAAAAAAAAATGTTTTTAGTCTAACCCTATTAATAGTAAAATTGGCTCGATCTAGAATTAATAATGTAAACTAAATCAAAATAACTATATATATATATATACCATTTACTCAAAATTTACTTTTTCCATATATATATACTATTATTATAAAGTGGATTCAACAAAATAATTTGCTCAGAAACTTGGAAAACACACTATGTATAATATTTATAAAAGGCAAGTTATTTTGTTTTGCCCTCGGATAATCATTATTATGTAAAATACAAATAAATAAAGCGCTAATAAACAATGCATAATATATTATATAATAATAAATTGAATTGTTTCTGCGAAAAAAACCAAAAAATACAAGCAGTCTTTGGTATATTCCTTACTTTAAGTACAATAATATTAATAATAATTTTATTATACATTTTTTGTTTGTTTATTTAATAGTATATTGTTGTATTAGGAGTAGAAGCTTTACTTTTTTGTGCTGAAGCAGTAGGTTTGCGAGCCGAATGTAGTGAGGCTTGCAATACTGCTGAAGCACAAAAAAGTGCTTCTACTCCGTATGCAACACGCTATTTTTTCTCCAAACGAATGGAATAAGCTCGAGGGTAACTGAATGGTTTGGAGAAAAAATATTATTTTATTGGTGGTTAATTTATTAAGCTTTAGTTCTGTTTTGGGGGTTAAATATTTGCAATATTTTGTACATAAAATATCTAGAATCTTAGTTGTTCGTAGAGTTTTTCTAATGAATCGCTAAAATTTTAGCACTTTGAGTCCAATATTTTTCCCTGGACTGTCTTAAAAGATAATAAGTCAATTGTTTTCACAGAGAGAGTAAAAGGCAGCATTCAATCAAAATCACAAGAATAAAAGAAAAATTACATTTTCAGCCATTAAAAAAGGAATAATAAGGACATAATATTGCAAATATCAGAAGTTTTAAAATACACAAACATTGAAAACCACAAATCTCTCTTGTTCTGTCTGAAACAAAAAAAAAACATCAAACCAGAAACAATTCTTTTTCACGAATTAAGTATTTAAACTGTACAAAAAACCCGCATTTTGTTCAAAAAACATCACCATGTTGCTTTTTTTTTTTCTGTGTAATTTTTACATTTATTACTTATTTTTATATTCTATTTTGTCACTCGCCTCCGCCAGTCACCGTAACTTCCCGGAAAATGGTATTTTCTATTTCTTTCTCTAGAATCGGCGTTTCGATGGTGTTATCGGGTTCCTCGTCGACTTCTGCTTGTTTTGCAGGAGTCTCTTCTTGCTCCTCTTCTTCGAGTATTGTTTGGGACACTTCCTCGTTGGACGATGTCCGGCTCGAATTGGCTATTTTTTCTTGAATTTTACTAATATCCTAGAAAAAGTTGCAAATGTCATTATACTGCCAAGAAGTAAATATATACATCAACATCAACAAAGTTTTGTCAGTTTTATTTTGTGCCATGAGTTGTGAGAATTGAAGAATCTAAAAACTGCCAGTATTTCTGGTCACTAGCTTTCCAACTTGTTTAGAAATTTAAAAAAAACACATGAAAAACAGGGCCTGTTGATTATAGCTATAATTATTCAACACAAAATGTCACTCTTACAGAGGAAATCGAGATTCTTTATTTGAAATACGAATACTTTACTCAACTCTGATATTCGATTACTTCCAAATGATGAATGATGCGTTTTTGAACTAAAATAGGTTGGGTAAAATGCCTCTATAATAGGACTTTCAGCGTAGTATTCTCAATGATTAGTTTACTTTTTTATTCAGTTGGAAGTTCAGACTGCTAACTAAGGGCAATTTTAGTTGTGTCAGATTCTACCAGTGGACCGGTTCATTTTAATACAAAAATAATTGAGCATAAAGTCACCAGTGAACAAATTTGTTGCAGTATATAAGCAAAAAAAAAATCTTACCTGTGCACGTACAGAAGCCACACCATCGGGCGATCCGCCGTCTTCACCGCAAGGCCTTAGAACCAGGTACAATAGTAAATCGGATAACGAAATAATTCCTATAACTTTATCGGCCTCGTCCACCACAACTAATCTGTGCACTTCGGCTCGAACGATTTTTTCCATAACATTAAATAGTGTCTCGTCTAATTTACAATTATGTACACCCTCGAACCATTCGTTTCGATGCTCGTTGGCCTTCTTCAGCGAAACGTCTAGGTCGTTATAAGTCTTTTCAGCAGCCAAATTCTAAAACAAAAAAATCATTCTCAAAATCTATTTTCTACTTCAACAGATAATTTGTGAATTGAGTAGTTATTTCAAAAAAGTTCCCTTACAAGGACCTGAACAAAGGGCAAACTAATCGACAAATTCATAACAAGGACATAATCTTCTTACTATGCTTGATAATCATAAGAATACAAGTTATTTTCTTCCTACTTACAATTACATCAAATTTAGCATAAATATCTTTCAATCGACCTTCAGAGTCTACTATTGGCAACGCTGAAACTCGCCTCTCTACAAATTTTCTTAGAGCTAATATAATAGAAGTGTCCTCGCTGGCGGTTTCTATGTTATCGAAACTGCCTATCCTCAGTTCCCTCAGGGTTTTATTCATGTAGCTTGGCTTGGGTAATTCATTTATCTGAAAATAGAATTTTAGTTTAATTATCTATTCAAAGCTGACATCATTATATAAATTGATATTCGTTGTTTTTTTTTTTTTTAATTAAAAACTCTATAGTTAGATACTTACATACAAAAACAGGAACCTGAGTATTCTTTTATGAGTGAGAATGTATAGGACGTTGCCGGTTTCTGGATCTATTACTGGCAGCCTGTGGATTCTATTGTGAATGAGCACCTAGAAAAAAAGAATCATAAACTTATGAAATCATTTAAAGATTTATTACTAATTGAATATAAATGTAATTTAAAATCCATTTGAACACAACTTTGACTAAAATTGAAAAGTAAACACTGTTGTTGAATATTGGTTCCCTGGAATATTGGCTAATACAAACCTATGAGAAAGCTTAATTTAAAAACTGACGTATTATACAAGGTAACAAGAATTGGTATTTCAGCTTCAAATAACCACGAGTTTCAAAACGCTGGTTTAGAAAAAAGTGTTCTATCAATTGCAAACTGAAGACAAGTGTTCTTTATTGTTATTGTGGCAAATACTGCAGTTTTGTTTATTAACATAGCCGCTAAGGTAGAAATGGACTTGGCCTCATCACTAAAAGTGCTGCTGTATTGAAATAAAACAAAAAGACGGTAAAAACGATGAACCTAGTGCTACGTTAAAAAATCTGTTTTTCTTGTATGTGTATAATTTTACCTGCACTATTCTCAAATTCTTTGTCTAGTCTATTTTTTTTTTGAACGTGTTGATACTGTCTGCTTTTCCAAGGCGTTCCATGCACTGCTGCTCAGAAAGTTTCTTCTATGCAGTTTTGCGTTTTTTTCTTTTTCGTGTTTGTCTCCTCTATGTCTTCTCTCCTTTAAAGTTGTTAGTTTTAGTCTTGTTAATCTATCTGTGTATGAAAGGTCTTGTAGTTCTGATGGGATTTTTGTAAGTGGTCTCTGTATCTCCTCTAGAACTTCCATATCTTTGACATAGTAGGGATTTCACACTGAGAAAGTGTATTCAAGTTTTGGTCGTATGTAACTTTAATACAGTTTTTTGTTTGTAGAACGTTTAGAGAGAAAATCGTGGTGTGAGGGTGGTATGAGATTTTTTTCAAACAAAAACGATGTCAGTTCTTTAACACAATTATCTTTTCCATGCATTTTAGTGGATTGCACTTGTTTATTCCGTTGCACACAGCTACAGACCCAGAATGAGAAAGTCAACCAAAATGTTCATGGTTTTTTATATTAACCTTGGACAATTTTTACTCCATGACTTTTTTCTCTATATCTTTTTCTAGCAGCACTTCACGTCCACCAATAGACATAGGCATCTCCCAGCTCCACCCACTTTTACCTGTTTTGTGCTAGCGTTCTTCCAGCGTTTTCCTTCTTTGCGGTCTATAGCTCTGAAGCTCTGTGGTAATGTATAGTCTGGTAATTCTCCAGATCCAATATGTTTTCATTAGGTAGGTATGACGACATGGGTAGGATTCCTCTTTAAATAGAGTTCTCTGTAGAATTTCTCTACAGTATTAGTTAATTGTCTTCTGTTAGATTCCCATATGGGTCTCTCAATCTATGCATGCCCATGTGATATTTTTATTTTTTTCAATTTACGTTGTTACCATTTCTGTATTGTAGTTCCTTATAACTTATTGAATCTTTTTCCCTCATCTTATTTATTACTTAATGCTCAAGTGTTCCCAATCATATTTCTACGTTCAGTCATTAGTTCTCAGGACTTCTTTTGCAGTTTAATGGTTGTGTTTTCCCTTGTATAGCATTTCTTGTGAATGATTTGATCCGCGTCCACAAGTTTTCCTGATCAAAAAGTTTCCTGTTGAATTCTGATTGCTATTATTGAATGTATTCTCTTAACGTTTCGGCGGTAGGAAAAATTTGTTGTTTCCTACCAGGTTGATACTAATTATTAAACTTTTGAAGTTCATGTTTGCTAGTATCAAATCTATTTACGTTTGCAGCGTCTTTTATGAAGTATTTTCGATTTGTGATATGAATAACTGATGAGTCGACTTCATAAAATACAACACAAGTGTTAATTTCGAGGTAATTTAGCAATATTTTTCATCATAACTTCAAGTCGAATTTTCACCTGTACTGGGTTACTGGATATCATTCACCGGTTTGACAAGTGAACATCTTACAGGCCAATTTTAATGTACACGATTATGAATAACTTTTTGATGTAAATCCACTTTGTGAGTCCTGATGAAAAGTGCAATGATACTCGGAACCTTGACAATACAATAAAGGGTTCAATTGAATCTAGGCTTTTTTGTTTTACGTGACTGCATTCCCCAATAATTCCTAATTTTATTCCTTAACTAGTCAGTCGCGACTACCCTTCTCTTCTCATTAAAAATAACTATATATTCTGATTTGTTTCCAATAAGCGCAAGGGACATGAAATTTAAAAAAATCAAAAATGACTCTATTAACAATTACAGTGAACTCATAGACGACAAGAATCCTGATTATTCCCTTTGGAAAGCAACCAAAGGCCTTAAAAGACCAGTTACCCAAATTCCATCCATAAGAAAGTCAAATTAGCAATGAGCAAGGAGTAACAAAGAAAAAGTAGAACTTTTTGCAAGTCATTTAAAATAGTTATTTGTGTACCAAGGCCGTAAAGTTGATCTTTTTTGGCCGAATCAGAAATTTGCGGCCGAGGCGCAGCCGAGGTCAAGCAAATTTCAGGTGAGGCCAAAAAAGATCATTCGGCCGAGGTGCACACAAAATTTTTTAGGCGAGTGTTTGTTCTTGAAAAAAGAATAAAATTCAACAGTAGCTTCAAACTTTATTGATCAAATAAATAATCCAGCAAAGATAGGTAGATACACAATTATTAATAACAAAAACTAGGATAAAGAGAGTGTGATTATAGAAAAATTTGTTTATTTTCATCAAAGTAGCGGCCGTAAAGTAAAAGCGGCCGTGAAGTAAAAGCGGCCGTGAAGTAAAAGCGGCCGTAAAGTAATAAAGCAAATGCGGCCGTGAAGTGAATGCGGCCGTAAAGTAAATGCGGCCAAAAAAGATATACTTTAGGGATGATATTGAATCCGTAAAACTAATCTTTTTGTGACAGTCGCCTAAAAAAGACATTTCAGCCTAACGAAGAATAAGATGAAAATCTTTACTGGAATGAACCTTATCAAGAAGAAGGCAACATTAAGCCTATTTCACCAAGAGAAATATTAGCAGAAATCAAAAAAAATATTAGTGAGAAAAAAGCTCCAGGATATGACCTAATTTCTGGGGAAGTAATAAAGCAACTCCCCAGAGGGCCGATCCTCGGGCCAGGGAGTAGAGCTCCCCGAGAGAACAAATTTTTCCTCTTTATCATTCTTGTTTACTATTCGATTACATTGACAAGGACAAAAAAATTCGTTCTATCGGGGAGCTCTACTCCCTACCAGAGGATCGGACCGCATGAGAGCTATTGTAAAACTATATAACCTTTTCAATACTTCGTTTTGGCTTAGATACATACCTACACTTTGGAAAGTTACAGAAGTTATCATGAAACCAAAACCTGGAAAACCACCCGATGATGTGTCATCCTATAGACCTTAGACAAGGAAAGAGAGAGGACGTGTAACATCCTTTACCTGCACTAGCAGCTTGGTGTATCCGAAAACGCCATTATTTGGTGACAAACTTTCATTTTCATCATTTTGGTTTAGACTAATATTTTTTGTGATACATGGTGAGTTGTTAAGCGTATGGGCTATGGCTGCAAAATCCGCAAAGAAAAAAAAAGTTGACAGGAATCGGGATTACATTTAACAGGCAGAAAACAATATGCTTTCTAGGTTATGTTATGAAAAAAGCAGCCATTTTTTGGTGACAACTTGCCTTATTTACAGTTGCGAGTTACGAGTCCCCTCTCTTTCCTTGTCTAAGTAATAGACCAATATCATTATTTCCAGTTTTATCTAAGCTCTTTGAAAAGATACTACTGAAAACAATAAGACTAATAAAAGAAAGACTGGAATCTATTCCACTCTACGCTCTACGATCGACCAAGTACACAGAATAACCAATATAATAGAAAAATCGCTGGAAGAGGAAAAAGTTTGTTCCGCAGTTTTTCTCGATGTAGCGGAAGCATTTGACAAAGTTCGGCATGAAGGACTATACTCTAAATTGAAACTGTTTCTACCAGAACAATATTCTGATATTCTGGAATCATGTACGGTGTCCAACCAGGAATCAAATCGATCTATACACAGTGTGTAAAAAGTCCCGGAACAGTTAATTATTTCGAAACTGGTGCACAATATAAAAAAACTTCCTGTATAAAAGTTGAAGGTCTTAATAAAATCTATTGAAATAGGACTTTTGTAATTATACAGGGTGGCCCAAAAAGTTGTGCTACACAAAACTTCATTTTTTTCAATGAAATGATCCTTTTTTAATTACATTTTCTAATTCCTCTAGAGATTCTTAACAACAATTATGAAACATGTCATATGGCTAAACCCATTGGTTTCAGAAATAATTTGAGTTGAAGGACATAAATACGATAAGTACGATATTACCTACATTTTGCATTGTTTCGAGTTGCTTCAAAATGTTTTACGTTAAATCCTGAAAAAAAAACATTTAACTTGTGTTAAATGAAATGTACCTCACTCAAGTTTAGTCAAAATTTTATTAATAACTAAATTATTAAATACAAGCAGTAAAGTAAAATCAACAATAACTTTGAAAGAACAGAAATAAAATTAAGTGTAAGACGTTATTTTATTAAATGCTGAAAATGTCCTCCTCCCACAATTTGACAATGGGCTAGGTTATAATAAAATTTATTGATGACGTTTTGTAATATTTCTTAGTTAATAGATGCACATTCTTCAATAATTCTTCTTCTCAATTCGTTCAGATCTGGAGGTTTTGTCACAAACACTTTATTTTTCAGATGTCCCCAAAGAAAATAATCAAGGGGCGTTAGGTCTGGTTACCATTTTGAACCAACTCGAAACAATGCAAAATGTAGGTAATATCGTACTTATTGTATTTATGTCCTTCAAGTCAAATTATTTCTGAAACTAATGGGTTTAGCCATATGATATCTTTCATAATTGTTGTTTAGAATCTCTAGAAGAATTACAAAATGTAATACAAAAAAAAATGAAGTTTTGTGTAGCACAACTTTTTGGGCCACCCTGTATAATTACATAAGTCCTATTTCAATAGATTTTA